AACATCGCTAATCATCAGAGAAATACAAATGAAAACCACAATGAGATATCAGCTCACACGGGTCAGAATGGCTATCATCCGAAAGAACACAAATAACAAATGTTGGCAAGGATGTGGAGAAAAGGGGACTTGCACACACTGTTGGTGGGAATGTAAATTAGTGCACCCAATGTGGAAAACAGCATGAAGGTTTCTCAAAAAATTAAAAATACAACTACCATATGACCCAGCAATTTCATTCTTGGGTACACATCCCCAAAACACCAAGAACACTAATTCGAAAAGATATAGACACCCCAATGTTCACAGCAGCATTATTTACATCTGCCAAGATATGGAAGCAACCAAAGGGTCCATCAACAGATGAATGGAAAAAGAAGATGTAGGGTGTGTGTGTGTGTGTGTGTGTGTGTGTGTGTGTGTGCGCGCGCGCGCACACAATGGAATACTACTGAGCCATTGAAAAGAATAAAGTTTTGTCATCTGCAGCAACATGGATGGACTTGGAGGGCATTATGCTAGGTGAAATAAGAGAGAGAAAGACAAACATTGTATGATATCACTTATATGAGAAAGCTAAAAAAATACAACAAACTAGTGAATATAACAAAAAAGAAGCAGACTTACAGATATAGAGAACAAACCAGTACTTACCAGTGGAGAGAGGGAAGGGGGGCAATTTAGAGGTAGAAGATTAAGAGGTACAGACTACTATGTACAAAATAAGCTACAATGATATATTGTATAACATAGGGAATATAGCCAACATTTTATAATAACTATAAATAGAGTATAACCTTTAAAAATTGTGAATCACTATACTGTACACCTGTAACATATAATATTGTATAAAAAATAAATTCTCTTCTATAAATAACCACTTTAACATCTACAGAACTCTTAAAGATTAATCTTTAGAAAAAATGTGTCCAGCGCTCATCTAGGGATTATGGATAAGACAGAACCACTGGAACAATATTTTGAAGTGACTGGAACAGAAGCTGCTAAGCAGGCATTTAGCAAATTTGTTGAATGAAGAAAAGACATTTGAAATTGTTATAAGCAAATGAATGGGTGTTCAGAGTTCTTCGTGAAGCATGCTCCTTGAGGGACCAAGAGAGGATTCATGCAGGTCCCTCAGGGGTTTCCAATGCTTCTACTGTAGTGTATTACTCCCCCTTTCTTCTCTTATTTATTTATTTATTAATTGATTCATTCAGCCAGTATTACTTAATACCTCTTCTCTGCCATGCTGTGAACTAGGCATTTGTGATTTAGGTTTGGGGTAGAAGGCCTTATGTTTCAGTATAAGTTCACTATGCTTTATCACACCTTAGTCTTTTAAGTCATGAACAGTAGAAAAGAGTAACAGTGAGGTGGTATAGAAAGAGCATAGATTTTTTTTTTTTTTTTTTTTTTTTTTTTTGGTGACGAGGGCCTCTCTCTTTTTTGGCCTGTC